TATATATATATATATATATATATATATATATATATATATATATATATATATATATATATATATATATATATATATATATATATATATATATATATATATATATATATATATATATATATATATATATATATATATATATATATATATATATATATATATATATATATATATATATATATATATATATATATATATATATATATATATATATATATATATATATATATATATATATATATATATATATATATATATATATATATATATATATATATATATATATATATATATATATATATATATATATATATATATATATATATATATATATATATATATATATATATATATATATATATATATATATATATATATATATATATATATATATATATATATATATATATATATATATATATATATATATATATATAGCACACTCGAGCATCTTTTTTTAATCTTCCGCGCCTTTTCTTAGGTACCGCTGAAAAGAAGTACGAGCGGAAGATTCGATTTTGACTCTTCACTGTGTTCGCTGAAAGGTTCCAGAAGGTGAGTCTTGTCACGGCAATCAATGTACTCATTCGGTCCGTGTGTGTTGAATTCTTCAGATTCTAACACATCGCACAGTGCGAGTTTGCAAAGGGTGTACTGGCGGACCAGTGGAAATCCCCTGTAGTTAACTCTCTTTCACGGTAACTTACCAATTTTCTATTGCTTTTGAGAGGAACAAAATTTACGGCATAATTCCAAGTTAACATAACGAAGGAAGGAAGATAGTGCATTGAAGTCTCACTGGAAAAGTTATTTTCTTCGGTGGTTGAAACCCTTGTAACTGAAAGCCCATGCAAACTAAGTCTCTCGACGCTCTGACTATTATCAGTAAAGTGTTGAAAACTTGTTGGGATTTTGGCTCGCTCATTAAGCTTCACCATCACTCTCCTCGCCTGTATTCGCTCGTTGCTTCTTTGTGGAATTCAGAGCTCGACTCGGTTTTAGACATGGAGAAATAAAATAAGTCTCATGCAAAAAACGGTTCGCACGCATCACTTACTACAATGGATCTGTGTGTAAACAAACTGTCGATTACTGACGCCAATTCATCAATAGACATTTAAGGTAGTTAACCGTGCTCCCCGTGTTGAGTGCCAGTTTGTTTACCCGGGGTTTCCTACCATAGTGGGAAGTGATACATAACAGTCGACCAAATTTGTGCTGCGTGGACAACACATTATCCGCGGTGTCCGGTAGTGAACAACGTTCAGTGGACGGAGTGCTGCACTTTTGTGAGCAAATCTTCCTTCTTGTACTACCCCTGGAGGACTTCTGACATGTGGGGGTATTTAAATTTTCTAATCCTCACTGATGAATCGTTGAAATGGATGCCAACGTCCTCACCAACAAGAAACACTAGTAATGTGCTCAATATCCGAAGGATGACCTAATACCTTTTCTGGATAACCACAGTCAGCTAATGCATGTGATTTTGGGACATCCGCAAGCGCCACCTAATTCATAACTCTCGAAGGATGATGTGTTTCTCTCTGGAAGGTATTGGGTGTTTTATGCAGGATTTTTAACAGTACTGATCCTACGGCCAATGTACTATGTAAAAATGAGCATAAAGTGTGTACTGAAAACTTTGGGAGCCACTAGATTGCACAGAAATCCAGCAGTTCCCCTGTGAATGTGATGTGTGTGTGTTACGTAGCTGACCTGCAAACTTTATGGCGTTTCTCACGTTGGGTTTCGCTGGTCTATATACTATCCGGTTTCCACATCCCAACAAACTACCGCGGTGTTTACGTGTGTATGTAAATGATGGATAATAATGCTGCAACCTTCCTCTGGAGGGGCCTGTTTTTTAAGGGATTTCTACAGCAGTTAGGATTCGGATCAGTTGGTGATCATGTTTGGATTCATCAACCTCATGGAACCGGAGCTGCAACCTTGGTTTGTACTGAAAAAAAAACAAAGGTAGATGTGTGTGTGTGTTGAGCTGTTTTGCCAGAACTAGAACATCAGTCGATTGTTATCTAGATATGAGCCGTATACAGTAGTTTCCTAGCTGTTTCAATGATGGCAGTTTTTAGAAAGGGGTAAGCAGTCCTTATATGGGTTTTTGTTCATCGTTGCTGAGCCCAAAGCATATACATGTTCCTTTCGTGAAGAACTATGTACCTCCCTTTTTGAGCTGTGGAATTGTATAGCCCAAAGTTTCGATGTGGATTATGTGAACAAGAGCCTTGATAGTTTAGCAGGTGTTTTTTTTTAAATTCAGTTCCACATGCATGATCTACGGCCTTGACAATCCCAAACTCGAACGGAAATCTGTTGCTCAGGAAGATTCGTACTCTTGCGACCCGGTGGGTTCGACTAGAGATGCTCCAAATTCCTCAGGTGGTGTACAGTTACGCCGACGACCGGCCAGTCTACGTCTTCACGTCCCGTCGAACGTTCAGAATGGAAGGCACGAGGCGCCGGTCCGACGTCGAGCTTGTGCCCCTGAGGTTGACCAGGCAGAGATAAGTTGCAGTGCGCCCCCTTCTGGCGATCGGGGGAGTTTGCATTCCGCTGGTAACAGCCGGATGGCAAACACACTGGCTTGTACGCCACTTTCGCACAGTAGCTCACAACACTTGCTGGTCAATTTTGAGGTGAGTATGCTTTTCTCAAATAACCCGCAACGTAGTCCACTATTTTTAAGTGGTAAAAAAGTAGTCCTGACGACTCACGATCGTTTTTCAAGTTTACTAATGATATCATTCTGGACCTCTTATTGAGCTGACTGCCTGTTGGATACCAAACCCTTTGCTCTGTTTTACTCGGAGGCACCATGTGCTTCTCATGCTACAGGCGCAAACATGAATATGACGTCACTCGCTGAAGGCTCATTCAGTTTCAATGTCGTTTCGTTTCATAGCTGCCAGATGGCAACTAGGACGTATGAAGCCCGAAACACTGCGAGAGGAGTGTATTCAAACTATCGAAAATAGATTTAAACCATGAACTTTCAGCCGTCTCCGACTGTCGCGAAATTTTTCATTTTGATCGAAAACCGTAGTTCTATAGAGTACATGAAAAAAGAGAGTGTTTTCTTTATCACTTTTTGACGGTGAGTTTTCAAATGAAACCTTTATATATATATATATATGTATATATATATATATATAT